CTTTAGAAATATCTTAGCTCAGTTTAAAACCTCTTTTGAAAATGACTTTCTCAACAATTATGCAATTGAATGCAAAACAAATAGTGCAGATAAGCACAGAAATCCGCCTCTCGGGCACCACACTCGATTATCAGATAATACCAGAGCAACAGGTAAATACTGCAAGAAGTAGCACAAACAACATATAATGGCAGACAATGAAATAAGGTAAACACATCAAACAGTACCGGTACCACTGCGGCGTGCAACCCGCTCCACATATTGCTGCAGCGTGCAGCCCGCTCCGTTTATCGTCGACGGCGCTCACTGGGGGTGTGCAGACTCCGGGAGGGGCCCCTTACGGCCCAAGCGCAATATCAAGCCATCTCGTGGCATCAAACTAGGCCCTCAGCCTCATATTAGTAACAGTATAACAGTGTTGCGGCGCGCAGCCCGATCCATAAGTATCCTCACAATACAGGCCCTCGGCCTTACTCAGTCAACAGAATCACATAAACCACTCGGGCAACAATAAAACAGTGTTTCTCATCCCAAAACATCATTTAAATATCATTTGAGTATTAAAACTGAGTGAACGTAGCTGAGTTTTGAAAACAGTAGGAAATAACATGACTGAGTTCAAATATATATAATTAAATCAGTGAGGAATTATCAACAACAATCCCCAAAGGGTTCAAATAGTTGGCACGAAGCCCAAATATGGTATTCAGCCCAAATAATGATGATAGCAAACTAATTTCAATCAAATACGTGGTAAAATCATTAATCGGGATGGACTAAGTCATAATCCCCAACGGTGCTCTACCCCATGCTCGCTATTCGGCGTGCAAGTCACCTCAACATAGCACTATGATGTGCAATCCGGGGTTTCAAACCCTCAGAATATCATTTACAATCATTACTCACCTCGAACCGGCGAAATCTCTAGCCCGCGACGCCTTTGCCCATCAAATCGGCCTCCACCCGCGTCGAATCTGACCAAAACCACAATGAATACGTCACAATATGCCAAAGGAACAATACCCAATCGAAAATAATCGAAAAATATTAAAAATCCCGAAATTGGCAAAATCCGAGCCCCGGGCCCACTCCTCGAAACTCAGAAATTCTTACACCAACGGGTTCCTTATCTCGCCACGAGTCTATACATATGAAAAATACCAAAATCGGAGTCCAATTGACCCCCTCAAAACCTAATTTTTTCTCTCTTAAGTTCAAGCCCTAACCTCCATTTTTGACCTTTAATTTCTTAAGTTTCCAGCTCTAATCCATGTATTTACACCATAGAATCATGTTTTTAAGTCCAAGAGTTCATACCTGATCAAAGCCCTTAAAACCCTCTTAAAAATCGCCCAAAAACTCTCCAAGTCCGAAGTGAAATATGTTACTTTTCTCAAAATTTCGCAAAGTTAAATTAAATATTTCTGTCCTGCAGAACCGCTTCTGCGGTCAAAATGTCGCTTCTGCGACTTCCGCTTCTGCGGTCTCCTTCCGCTTCTGCGGAAATTCCCATAATCCAAAAACCCGCTTTTGCGACGTAAATCCCGCATCTGCGGCTTCGCAGATGCGGCTTCCCCAACAGCTTTTGCGGAATCAGCGCCCAGGTCCCATCACCGCTTCTGCGGTCCAATCTTCGCACAAGCGAGACCGCTTCTGCGGTCCAAGCTTCACAAAAGCGAAAACACCAGTTGCAGCAGACTTAGCAACATGCAAAAATTCCAAAACTCTCCGTTTAACCATCCGAACTCACCCCGAGGCCCCCGGGACCTCAACTAAAAATACCAATGCATCCTACAACGTTATTCAAACTTGTTCCAATCATCAAAACACATCAATTAACACCAAAACCATCAAATTACATCGAATTCAAGCCTAAGTTCTTCTAAAACTTTTGAAACACGTATTCGACCAGAAACCCTACCAAATCACCTCCGAATGACCTGAAATTTTGCACACACATCCCAAATCACATAACGAAGCTACAACAATTCTCGAAATTCCATTCCGACCCTCGGATCAAAATCTCACCTATCAACCGAAATTCGCCAAAATACTAACTCCGCCAATTCAAGCCTAATTCTACACCGGACCTCCAAAATTACTTCCGATCACACTCCTAAGTCACAAATCATCCCCCGAAGCTAACCGAATCATCGGAATTCATATCCGATCCCTCTAACACAGAAGTCAACGTCCGGTTGACTTTTCCAAAAAAATCCTTCCTTAAAGAGACTAAGTGTCTCATTTCCTTCTAGAACCAATCCAAATCAACTCGTTCACACCCAACACTGATAATGAAGCATAAAGAAATAG